AGAATTAAACTGCGGGAGGAGCTGGTCTAAGGATCCTCACTAAAATTTCCCTTTGAAATTTTCAGGATATATTTTCAGAATATAATCCTTATCGTATACCTGTCTACATTCAAACAGTATTTATTTTGTTTTTTGTTAAAATGAAAATTGTATTAAGAAATTTGCTGAAGCTATGGAGATACAGATACATAACTGCATTGTGCTCCAATTTAGCAACTTGTATTTTTCCCTAGAAAATGGAGGAAAGTTTTCCTGATAAGCCAGAAGAAGGCTAAACAATGAAGGCGAACCGGTAGCAGGAATCAAAGAGCTCATCTTCCTCATTCCTTGGAGCTGTTTTATGGTATATACTTGTAACTCCAAGTTCCTGTTGTGTTTCACTAAGCAAGAAGGGCAAAGGATATTTTCTGGTTCCAGCTCCATCAGTGGAACTCAGTAGACTTTCCTTAAAAAATGAGGAGCTTTGGAAAGGTTGCATATTTATAAAGTTTCTGAAACCTCTGTTTTAAATACATTGAGAATTTGTGGTTTCAATTACAGATGTGCGTGTTGCAAAAATACATGAGACTGCTCATCTTGGAATGGTTTGTGTTGTAAACTAACATTTCAGGAGATGGCAATATGTCTACAGGGGAAGAGCCCTTTAGTGAGTTAAACTCTGCAGGGGCCCCAGTGATGAACAGAAATGACAGAACTTCTAGATTTAAGTAAGAACAACAACAACAAAATCCTCAGTGTGTATTCTGCCTGTGTTTGTTTTGTTTTAAACGAACAGGGTCAATGCTTTTAAAAAAGGAAGAGGTGGTATAGCACTCTGATTTTTGCCTCTTTCAACATATTCCCTTCCCTCTTTTTTGATACCCACTGGCTCACTGGCCTTAAATACAGTAAACAGCAATTTCCAAGGGTATTCCATGGTCCCTTGAAGTAAAATTCTATAGGAAGTGAAGAGAAATAAGCAGTTTTCCCATTTGGCTTCAGTGCTTTGTCTCAGAGATGATATTGTATCTCAAGGAAACTCTTGTTTATAGATATCAGTTTTCCCTTTTTAATTTTTTTATTGTTTTGGTACCAGGGATCAAACTCAGGTCCTTGAGCTTGCGCAGCAGGCGGCAGAACCACTGAGTTAAATCCCTGGCCCTCCCTTTTTTTATGAAAGCTTGACCCTGACCAAAATAAAATATTTTAATTGCATGTAGGAAAAAATGCATTTATCACCACAAAGTAAACTGGAGAAGGTAGGACTTTGAAGCAAACACATGTGTATTGACATTTCAGAAAGTAGTCAAATAGAATTAACTGTAGAATCTGAGTTTCCCGAAAGTCTTTAAATAATTTTAAGATTGCACCAGAGTCTTAAGGAAACTATATTTTGAGTTTGCCCAGAGAAAATTCCCTACCCCTTGTCCTTGCTATGGCCAGTGCTAGGTGGCATTACTAGACAGCTGGAAATCACTTTCAGAGGCAATCATTTGTGGTTATATAAAGGAAATAACATCATTATGGGTAGAAATAGTACAAGGAAAAAAATACCCCAAGCTTGCCTTACTGAAGACTAAAAGAAAAAGAAGTAGAATAAAAAAGTCAAGGTTACATAAGTCATCAAGATTTTTAGTATACATAGAATTAAGCTTTACCATTTTAACTACTAAAGAATCTTTAATTAAATGCCATTAAAAATCTGTTTATAAAATTTTTGAAATATCCCCTTTCCTTATTTATTTATTTATTTTTTTTGGTTTTTTGAGACAGGGTCTTGCTATGTAGTTCAGGTTGTCCATGAACTCACTATGTAGCCTATGCTGGCCTCAAATTCCAGGTGATCCTCCTGCCTCAGCCTCCTGAGTGTTGGGATTACAGGGGTGTGCCACTACGCCTGGCTCTCTTTCTATTTAAAAGGGAACTGATCATAACATTGTAAAGGAAAGCCCAACTAAATATTAGCTCCAAAAGGATTATGGTTTTGTAGCTTCTGTACTGATTTTTTAAATTAGTTTGGTTATGTAACCAAATACCCTGTGATATCGAAGGGTGTGGCACCGCACATAATATGATTTTTAGAGAGAAAATGTCAACAGCTTCAGGAAAAGCAGAATGGTCATGATCATCACTACATTTACATTTTCATTATCAGGGGTAAAACTTGCAGCTGTAGGTGGGATTACAGGACTCATCCCATGAAAACACTGAGCCTGTATCCTCCATGAAGATGGGAAAATAACAGAAAATATGCAAATATATATGCCATATTCAAACACATCTTCATTGACTGTGGCCACAAATAATTTTAATAAATTACTTACTTCAAAAACCATTAGACGATAAGCTTTAATAACAAAAGTATAGAGGAAATCCTATTTCATATTATTTCCTAGTCACTATTCCCCATAGTAATATCTGACGAATGAGGGTGAATTATCGATGATCTTTCAGATCTCATGAGTAGAGTGGCAGTGAGAGATGCGTATCCTTTTCTTCACGGGTAACTAGTTTGCTTATGGAGAGTAGGGCTTTCCAGTGAATGATCTGCTCTGAAAGATGATTCTGTTTATCAAAATGGCAAGTGCAACAATTCCAAGCTGCCATTCCACTCACTGACTGTGCTTTTAAAAAACTCAAACCAAACAGTTTTAATCCCCAAGTGAGTAAAAAAAGATAAACTATGGTAAATTTTAGATTGCTTCTTCCCTAAATAAATTTTAAAAATAGTAACAGATTGTCTAAAACACTGAAATTATTTTCTCTTTCTATGTAAATAAGTTTATCTGCATGTCATTTTATGTCCTATTTAAATGATTCTTAAATGATCATTTGTTGAAGAAAATGAAGCTGAGAGTTGTGAGATATACAGGCATTGAAACCAGGTTTTTGGATAACAGAGTAGCTTTACCCCATTGCAGCTACTTTGGTGGACCTGAGAATTAGAGATAATCCCCTCAGTTATCTAAGTTGAATCTTGGAGAGAATCATTCTGGGAAGCAGAATTTAGTGCCTTTATTCTTCCCTTCTCTAACCTTTTGTTTTGTTTTGTTTATATATCAGAGATAAAATGATTCCTTTTGTGCTCATTAAAAATGCAATTAAAAAATAACTTGGAGAAATAAAAATGTCATTTTCCCTCTCTAACTGGAATAAATATAATTTCAAGCCAAGAAATTAAAACCAATAATAGATTTATCACTGAGCAAAATGCACAGGACAAATTTAGTTGCTTCTTCTTTTTTTTTTTTTTTTTGGTACCAGGGATTGAACTCGGGACCTTGTGCTTGTGAGGCAGGCGCCGGAACCACTGAGCTAAATCCCCAGCCCTCAAATTCAGTTGCTTCTGTAATGTTATTGTTAAGAAAATTCTAACTTTTTTCTGAGCTACTTTCTGCATAAGTTAAGATGTGGCAGTGTGTAATTATGTTTTTTGAAGCTATATTTTATGGACACATAATTTTGTGATATGCAACAATTCTCTGAGCATTGGGGCCAATAGTGTAAAGCTATCTTTCATTAAAATCAGTTAACATATTACATCTTTATTTCATTACGATACTATTTCTTTTCTAAATTTCTTCCCTTTGGTTTTATTGTACGTGTTTTACTGTACACTTTGGGGTAGGGTTAAGAATTTATTTCAAGGACTGTTCATTGTGTACTAGGTAAAAAATATTCCTTGATGTTCTAGAATCTCTAGTAGTTTAAGAAACAGAGCTTTAAGAAGCTCAGTCATGTGCCACTCAATCTATGTTAAGTACTCAACACTGAGAAGACAAAAATCTTTGTTCATCTTTCAACATTTAGATTTTCAAGTTTTTTTGAAGGGCAGATAAATAAAACATGCTTTCTCATGGGGACAGAGATAAGAGTACAAATGCAAGACTGTGATCAACTGGGCACGTGAGATGGACAGTTGATACATACAGCACCATCCTAGATATGGTGGGAGCATCATAGCAACCACTGCAGGTCAGAGAGACTGTTGCAGAAATACAGTCACTGCAGAAATACTTCTCAAAATGATCGCCTCATTGAAAATAGATTAACATGATCAGAAAATATTCGTGAAAAAGGAAACAATATAAAAATTTACATTTTTTGAGAGAATAGAAGCAGGGCTCGTGGATCAGCCTCTCTAAGCTTGGAGGTCACTTCTGATGCTACACCAATAGTTGTCTCATGTCCTTAAAAAAATCCAAAACGGTGCTTCTTGTATAAATGGTTCATCAATTAAGCCATAGAAAGAGAGATGGCTGCTGATGAGCAGGTGATGCACTGGGTCCCTACACTTCAGCTGTGACAAGCACTGGGTTCTTTTCTTTCACATCAACTTCATTTCAGTTTTAACAGAAGGAAAGCCATAGATGCACAATACTGTAATCTGGAAGCTCATGTAAGGCAGCAAAAAGCATCACCCTAGAATGGACAGATTAAGTAAGGTCCACTTTTGGCTACACTAGCAACTGGCTAGAGCCCACTGCATTTTGCCACACAAGATATAAAAATACAGATCCACAGCAAGGGAGGCAAGTGAGAAGGGATGTGACTGTGTGTGTGTGTGTGTGTGTGTGTGTGTGTGTGTGTGTCTCTGCATTACTGGAGCACACTACAAAATGAAACCCCTGGTGCCAATGGTTCAATTTCGGTCAAGTAAATTAAGGCTACTAGAGAACTGGTTGATATGAAGAGTCCATTCCAATCAAGCAGTAAGGAACTGATTCACTCTTGAAGACACAAGGAAAAGTTTAGAGGGAAAGCAAGCTCTTGAAAAAAAATGAAGCACAGACATGCACGTTGTTTCTCTGGTGAGGAAAAGGAAAAAAATAATAAGAGAGACCAAAGCAATCCAACTGCAAGGCAAGGCAGGTGTTTGCTTCCAGTTCACAGTATTGCAGTTAGTGGTAGAGTGAGGTCTACAGAAGTGCTGGAGAGTAGAGAGGCTGCCCAGAAGAAAAGGGAGGAAAGAAGTGGTCACATGACAACACAGCATTGACAGCGCTTTTTCTTTTGAGTACCTGGGGCTGGCTCGGTGGCCAGGCTCTCTTCCTTCCCTTCTGGGGATGAGGGTTCTGTGGTATCTGAGACTGGCCTCCCAGACACAAGCTCAGCCGCATTTCCATCAATGGTGGACACATCTGTCACTGTCTTCTCTCTTAATGACTTCTCATCGTCTTCATCAATGAGGACCAATTCAGCCTTGATGGTTTCATCATAGCCTAGCACCTTTTTAGTCTCCTCTTCATCCTCGATATTTTGGTAGCCCATAAAAATCATGGTGACAGGCTGATCTGAATTTGCCTCTGGCTCTTCTGTGCTGGGAGCTTGGGTCTGCTGTCCTGGGTTCCCAGAAGCATGATCTTTCCTAGACTTATGCACCATTTCTAACTTGGCTTCTTTGCAGAGCATGTGTTCCTTAGCGTGGCCAAGGCTTCCATCAGCAACCACAGTCCTTTCTGACATGTGCCCTCCTCTTAAGCTTGATTGTCCAGCCTTCTGAATAAGCTCTTCAACATCCTTTGCACTTAATTTGTGCACTCCATTTTCTACTATGGTGCCTCCTGAGTGCACCTCATACACTACTTTGGTACCATCATCATAGACTTTGACTCCTCTCTGATGAACCCCCTCTGGGCCAATGGTAGATGCAGAGAGAATCTTGGTCTCTCCTGTTTGTTTGTCTTTCTCCACATTAATTTCCATGGCGTACACAGCTTGAATGAAAACAAGAGAAAGGAAGTGCATGTTACAACAAAAAAAGCCAGTGAATGGTTAATTGCCAAACAGACAAAAAAGGTTTTGTGCCCTTTCTATTCTAACCACCAAGTATCCTGAGTGTTAGAGTGAAGTGCACGTGTGGACAAAGATGGTTATTATGTATTTTACAGCAGCTTAATGCACTGGGAAGACAGATGACACAGTCACTATATCTCAGTGGCACTCTTAAGGAAGACTTGATAAAACAAGGCCATAAAAGACTTCAGATCTAGGTGGAAAGAATTACAGGAAAGTTGGCAACATGCAAATCTACCTTGATTGAGGGCTTCTTAAGCTTATAGACATAGTTGTGTCTGGGTTCCAAAATCTGAAGTGCTTTTTTCTAACTTCTTCATCAAGTGTTCTCTTACTTTTCTATGTTTCCTCCTACTATTAATGGGCAGTATGTCAAGGTTTCTGCAGATGAGACATGACTCTCTTCTACTACACTATACAGTTGGATATGTGCAAAAAGTGAAAGCTATGAAAGGATTCATGCTCTGGGGGTACTCCATTCACTTAGTGAAATTTCTCAAACAAGAGCTAGGAAAAGAATAGAACTGAAAGTCAGGTATGGTGGCATACACTTGTAAACCTAGCAGTTAGGAACTGAGGCAGGAGGACTGTGAGTTATAGGAATACCCAGACAACTTAGCCTCTTAAAATAAAAAGGGATTAGATGTAGCTCAGTGTGAAGGCCCTGGATTCAATCTCTAGTATCTTAAAAGAAACCTCAACAAACAAACAAACAATCAAACAAAAACAGAAGTAGCAGCTTCCTACTACACTGGAACCTGAGGATGATGTCACAGCTTCTTTCTTTTATTTACACAATCCCAAGTCTCATGATTCTGTGCCATAATATCTTTCTTATCTGTTGTCTTCTTTCTGTTCCACTGTCATTACCCAATAAGAGGCCCTCTGTTTCCAGATTTCTTCTAGATTGCAAGAACAGCTTCCTTTCTATTGGAGACTGAGTCCTCTCCTCTCATTCGCTCCAGTTCATCCCCAATTCTGCTGTCAGTCTAGTGTTATAAACACTAGCTCTTTCCTGTCCTATTGGTTCTTAGGACATTTCACACTTACAAGTCTGTTCTCTCACAGGTTTCTTGTGGTGCACAGATTCAGGATAGGAATAATCTGGGTACCAGACCCACAGAGCTAACTGACACATTAGATTCACTGATCTCAAAGCTGATTCTGCTTCTCTCAAAATCCTTCCACAGCCTTGGTGTTAAATGACATTCACCCCATTACCTAATCTCCCAAGCCTGATTTTGCCCTTCTTCCTAACTTATCACTCAGACAAGCACTGAGAGGAATTAATGCTGCTTCAGATAGTCTTATTCATCTCTTCACCACTATCTCTACCACCACTGCCCTGGCCAGACTTCTGCTCAACACAAACCCCTTATTTCAGGTTTTCCTTGATCCTTCTCTCTTTCAACTCTAGTCTTGGGGACTGCAAATATGGCCAGAGAGCCAAAAGCAGTCTGGAGCCTGATTCTGCATTGCCAAAGGAAGAAGAATGGGAATTTTACATCTTTAAAAGATTGTTTAAAAAAAAAAAGAAAGGGGCCAGGGATTTAGCTCAGTGGTTCTGCTGCCTGCCTCGAAAGTGCAAGGTCCAGAGTTCGATTCCCAGTACCAAAAGAAAAAAAAAAGAAAAGAAAGAAAGAAGAGAAAGGAAAAGAGGATGGCAGGGAAGGGAAAGGAAAAAGGAAAAAAATATGAAGAATATTTAAGAGAGATTATACATAGTCCACAAAGTTGAAAATGTTTCCAATCTGGCCATTTACAGAAAGCGTGCTGAGCCCTGCTAGCCTGTGTTCCAGCCTGCCAGTTACCTGACTCAGGTTAACTGTTGGTTCTTGTCTACATAGGGTAAACACCAAACTCCTTGGCTTGGCATACATTTTGCTTCCCAGTTTGTCTGCAGCCTTCCTTTCCAGCCTTATCTCTCAGTTCTTCTTGTTCTCCACATACCCTGGCCACAACAGGCTTCTCACTATTTCCAAGACACTGCTCAGAATCCTCCCATGCCTGCTGCCTTTCAGCCTTCTCCCCTGGCCGACTTCTAGAGTCTGGTGCCATATGTCTGCTTATCACTGTTGAACTCCCTACCTCTTTGTAAATATCTACAAGGTTGCTAACCCGAAAAGGAGACCCAAACTATCTTTTCAGCCATGTGTTCTGTCACTCCTTTTCCCTCAAGCACAACCAAATAACATCCCATATCCAAACACAATCCCCTTCTTAAATGTCCATCTTTTGACTTTCTGCACATCCAAGTATGACTCATTCATCAATACCAACACTAACTGCCCTTTTCCATAAACTTTCTTTGATCTTCCCATTTCTAAGTCATCTTTCTCTCTTTAAGAATTTCTGAACACTTCTAAACTCCTTTGAGAGTACTTAATTTCCACTTAGTAGTATAATTATTTGTAGTACAATGATTTATCAGCTTCATAGATTTTTAAGATCCTTAAGGGTTAGATTTTTTTACCTGTGCCATCCAGGATTCTCTCTTCCTGCCAGCATCTACCATAGATGTACCTTAGGTACAGAAGGTACCTGATATACACTCCCATGAAACAAATGTTACTAATTGAAGAGTTTAATTTGATTGTCTAAATGTAGTCACAAGTGCTTTGAATAATATGCCACCAATGAAAAGGTACACACAGTAATTAATGTTTGAACTGGTTTAAAAAAACAGCAATGATCCTGTCCCATCTGCTAGCATAATAAGATACAATCTGTTCATGGTTAACGCTTAACTAAAAAGATTATGAAGCAAAATCCACCGCTTGGTTTTCACCATATCCATTTTGAAGGTTTCATTTGTTCTGCATAAAAATATTGAGTTTCCTCAAGTGACACAATGGGAGGTCAACCAATATTTGTCACAGAGGTGCATGGGCTCACACACAAAGACTGTAGTATCAAAAGAAATATTTATCTCATTATTTGCTGACTTTCCATATAATGTGTCATCAGAGAACAGGAGAGGTATTTAAAATTCTGCATGGACTCCAAAAGCCTATTCTTGAAATAATTACAGTTATAATAAAAAACACAATTTTGGTCTAAAATATCATATCACTGTTAGCATGCCCATGGGATATATTTATAAATAATAGAAATAATAATGAATTATCCGTTTATGTACAATATCGAATTATCCAGTGATGTGTGAACAAAATGACACATTAATCTGTAACCAATATATAAAGGGAACAAAATATTTTTTTTTATATTTCTGTGTGATAAGACACAAATTTTTAGCATGTAAATGTTTAGAGTTGTCCCTTTCCCTCTTCCCACCAGTGAGTACAATGTCGTCGTTGGTCCAGTTTTCCCTTCTCCACCACCCTAATCCTGATCTCATGTCACCTTTGCTTGCTGCTAGAATCAGAGACTGGATGGAATAAAGAGACCACAAAGAGTTCTTTGCTGGAAAGGGTAGATGTCCACAACACAGAGCAAAGAAGAGCGGTAAGGTTATCAGTAGAGAATCAAAGCTGTGTGAAATACAGAGAGAGAGGGAGTCCTCTGTTTGGAGAGAGTGAGATGTGGAGGGAAAAAAGGAAATAAGAGCTACTGCTGAGTGCAGATGTGAAATACAGAAGGTGCCTTCCACGCGCCTTCAGGAGAAATAGGAAAAGAACTGATTTCCTTTCCGATGGCCTTGTGGTCTGCAATTTTAAACTGTATTAGAACTGAACCATGTATAACATGGGGCCATTAGGATTACATAAGTGTATTTGTATTTACATGTTGGACAAGATTCTTTCAATATTTTTAGAATACTAGTATAAGATCTTGTAAGCATTTTAACAAACTTTCATACTAATTTCAGATATGCTATGCTACAAAATGCAACATTCATGTACCAACCACCACCACCACTACCACCACGGTGACCACCACGACCACAACCACCCCTGCTGATCCCAATAAAACACCAGACTTCAACAGAATCAGGAATTATTAGTGAGTTCCAGGATGTGGTCCCAATTCCATTCTGCATTTACTTTTCTCTAGTAAGAGTTACCCAGGGGAACCTCTTGAGAAGCTCTGACTTAAACCAAGGATTGTATTTAGTCCTCCTGGATAATAAAATGAGAATGTTTTTTAGGCATTCAGAAAACTAAGCAGGAGCTGTGAATGTTTGTCTTAACTGTATTCTTTATGAGTAAAATTTATATTTTGCTTTAGTTCTCAGACAACAATGGACCAAACTGTGAATCAAGGTGGGTACAAACCAGTAGGATAAAAAGACTCCAGTTTTAAATGTAACATTTTAATTTTTTTCCCATTTTTGGTGTTTTGTTATCTTTCTTTTTGATGTTAGGGATAGAATTCAGGGCTTTGCACATACCAAGCATGTGCTACGTACTGAGCTACATCTGCAGCCTAAACATTTTGTTTTTGATGGACACAACTTTTAAACCTCTTGGGCTTTCCACTGCTCCCAAGCTATAGCAAAAGCCTCTGCCTCCTAGTATGCCTTTATCCCTAACCACTCAGGGCACTCTTTAGTCTGCCCACAGGCTCCTTCCATTTCTCCACACTATCAGCGTCTGCAGTCTTTGAGGAGGATCAAAAGGGCCTGGTGCCTCCATTCAGGTTATGAAAAAATGAGGAGGAGCACTGTTGAGGGGAGGGGGCCTTCCAGGGAGCCTCTGAGAGAGATTCTGAAAGAACTCCATAGACATGAGGAAAAATGTTTGAAGGAAAGTGTTCCAGAATTTCCTGGAGAAAGGGCCTGGAGAAGGGGGTGAAGGACACAAGACAGTTCAATGAAATTGTCACTCACTGATATGCTAACTGGACTCTGGATGTACATTTTTCTTAATTGATATATTTAGCTATTGATTTCTAAACATGATATACTGATGTCAGGAAGAATGGTGTACATACAGCATTTTCACCATTTCTTCCAACAATC